AACGATTCCCTGCAAGAAGAATTAATACGGCAGCTTCTTCTTTGACTTAAACTGATTTTATGCTCTCATCTTCAATGTATTGCTCCCCTTTTAATATTAATTTCTGAAAATCTTAAATATCATAGGATGTCCTTCTGCCTGATTATCAGTCCTTGATCCTTTGTTTCAACAGATGGATGAGGCATTGCATGCTGCCTTCAGAAGAGGACTGGAGACTTTCCATAAGACCCAGACTTGCTGACAGGGACTCCTCCTTCAAGGAGCACCTAGGGATGTTGCTGCAGGCCTAATGGATGCCTCCCAGACTTTGTCTGCTATTTCAGTTGCCCTACATTTTGCAACGTGAGCAGTGGGGCTTCTGCATATCTTGCTTTTGTTCCTGGATTTAGCCATGTGATTGCTTCTGATTGTTATGAATTTGGGCCAGATTCCTTCCTGTGAACTATGGCTAACACTGAAGACCTCATTTTACAGCATCAAGAGTCTTCTCAAAAACAACTGAAAGAGGAGGTGCAGGCAAAGGGGAAGGTGCCACATATTTAAGCACACCAGAGGTACTGGAATAGTCTCTGATGAGGATCGAGCTTCTCACAGCAGACCCCTAGCTCAGCCCTGTCTCTTGAGGCAGATAGTGAAGCTTCACTTCTTCCCTACAGGCCAACAGGCTCTGGAGATAACTGATTTACATAAGTTGTGATTATTTCAATTCTTCACTGATTCATTAACGTGATTGTTAGGCTCCTAATGACCAGGCTGGCTGCGTGACTTCCTCCTATTCTGAGGTAATTTAAAGGCAGTTTCATTTTCTCAGTTGCCCCTACAGTACCATGTAAAAAAACTGCTACTTAGTGTTAAATTAACTAACTGCTACTGAAGTGTCAGATGAGAAGAGCAAAATGAATGTCAGGTCTAATTATTAAAGCTATACGTCACAGTCACTTGCAGAGGCCTACTCTGGAGTGGATCCTCTTAACTGCTGAGCACTGAAAGAAAGCATTGGGGTAGCTCCTAGTGAAAGTCATGTCTGTTATGCTAATACAGGGAGCACTAAACAGCTTTCTGACAGAGATTCTCGATGGTCAGCAAGGGACCCTCATGCGATATCATGTAATTGGGACCATCCACTGCTTGCCTGTGACATTCAAATTACAAAGACAGCTAACAAAACATTAGTTCTCAGCAGTCAGGGAGTATTTGCATCTGAAACATAAGATGGTGAAAAATGGCTTTTTTGAGTGGTTTTTCTCTCAGATGGATGCACTACATCAAATACTGAAATGCAGTTCTCACTACACCATTTGAATTATGCTCTCTGTAAGCAAGCAGTTTTACAACTTTTCTTTCTCCACATTCACTTACATAAATTAAACTAACAGTGGAGGCTGCCAGAAAGACAAAGGGCTATGAAGAAATAGCTCTTTATATGCTACAATCTGCCAGCTACCCACTTCTGTCCAAGCAATTCTTCAAACTCTATTCCTGAGACAAGATATAGGTATGCTACAATTACAAAATCACCAGGTTTTACCTGGCACCATAAATTCGACAATGTGTGTGGATCATGACCAAAAACTTACACATTAATTCAACAGATACCATTCACCCTCTGCCCCTAAATGACTTCCACTTATTCCTCCACCAAAAAAAGAAGAGGGGCAGTGAGTTGAATGCTGTCTAATTAAATAATAATCAGTGAAACCTTCTAGTAAAACTAGAATGACCACATTGCTCCTGTATGAATATAGCACATGTAACTTGAATTTTGTACTGAGGCTTCATTAAGGATCATTATTTGTAGAAAGTTAATAGGATTAAATTTTTTTACCACTAGAGGCACCAGCCAAATGTTAGAAACTAACAGCATTTCTAACTTAGACAGTAGTAGCCACAAGACACTGTGGAATTATAATCTAACTTTTAAGAAAGTCTTCATTTAAATGCACATATGACCTGTCATATTTAAGGGTCCAAAAAATGAATAAGCTGTCTAAACCAAACCACACTTCTCAGCTGCACACATCCACAAAGGGGACATTAGAACATGCAGCACTGTTTCTAGATGATTATGGCATTGACTGTATTCAATGATCAGCCTTTCAAAAATACTTTCACTGGAAAGAAACAAGTGTTTTGAATGTTAAGTTAATCTTTTTACATTGCTATCTACCTATCAGCTTCAAGTATACGCACTGACATTATGATATAACATTTCCATGTATTTTGAAGTTTGACTCTAGGAAAGGATCTAGGAAAGGATCTTCTTAGGAAGGAGGCAAAAAATTACCTTAAAAACATCTAGTTTTTCTACAAAGGACATTGCACAGCAAAAATCCATTTCTGTGAAATGTGCTTTTCACAATCATTTGTTTTGATTTAATGCTTACTGTTTCCTATCTTCAAGCAACTTATTACAGAGCAAAGAGTATGTTAGTGAAGTTAGCTTTCAGTTACATGTTTAGGTTTTTGGGATGGAGGGAAGTTTTATGGATGATACGAAGCATTCTCCTCTGCTTGACAGTAGTGTGGAAGTGTCCCAACTAGGGTTGTGCAAGGAGAATTAAGACAATCATTCTTTCCACAGGCAGTCTTTATTTTAGATGTTTAACAGCCTAGATATTCAGCAGCCTGATTGCATAGCCTGTCTGTCCCTCCCCTGCTCTGAAGAGTTTTTCATCAATATGGGCAAATTTCAAAGCTCTTTCAGGAGAGGAAAAGCAAAAACCAGCAAGCAAGGAATGTATTAAGTTTGCTTCAACAGAGCAGACCAACCTCTCCAAACACCTTCTTCCAGTAAGTGACAATACCAAGCACTGTTGTGAGGCAGCTCAAAGAAGGAACATGAGCACATTTCTTCCCAGACATGCTGTACCATACCTACAGAAAGTACTGGCAGACCTCCACTTATATCCAGGTTGTGAAATGAAGAGAGCTTCTGCAGCTGTATGCTTTTTTCCTTTATCTGAGGACTCTCACACTATTTCTTCCAGCCTAAGTTTTTGGTTTTGTACTTCTCTTATCTAGCAAGATTCAGCACTTATATAAAAATAGATAAATGTATCTTTGCTGTTTCAGGAAAGATCCGATTGGAAAAAAGGTATGTCCATTAAAAATGTAGGCAAATACAAGTTGGGTTGGAAAAGGTATATTGTAGCCAGCTGTAGAGGAACAAGGTGCAGAAGAGGAAGAAAATCACACACACAACATTAATTCCCTTTATGTTAATTTTCCTCTGAGCAATAATGTAAAATGTTTACAGTGCTATAAAAACAAAGCCAGATCATAATGTGGGGGTATTAAGAGAAATTTGCATGCTTACAAGATTTAAATTTAGCTTTGCAGTCACACTGGCCAGCAGACACTGAACAGAAATAGGCAGTATTTAGAACCAGAGGGCTTATTTATTTTTCTGGGAAGCCAATACTATACCATTACCTTGATACTCCCTCAATGACCACCTACAGTCATATTTTTGTATCTATAAGCAGAAAATTCTTCAGGAGGAATATAAAAGGGACCTAATAATGAAATCTGACCAAAGAGGTTATTAATGTCCCATTGCTCTGGGGTACCACAAAACTGCAGCAGACGAGCTGAGACTGGGATGATGACTGAGAATTCCTTCAGTGGACACCAGCACAGCCACAGGGTGCTGCTGTAGGAGTGCTCAGTAAGGCTATGCCACCTTCACTAGATGCCAGAGGAGTCATAAGACAAGGAGTAAAACAGAGTCAAACACTTGGAAATGGCAGGGGAAAAAAACTGTTCAAAAAAAGAGAGGATGGTATTTGTCAATGCAAGCTGGATCTCTTTTTACAGAAGGAATCTCTTACCACTATCCAAGCCTGCTGTGCAAGTAAACAATGATTTCATAACACAAAAATGAAGAGGGGCAGGAAAGAATAAACCTAGTGAGACTAAGAACCAAACAACATTTGCAAATAAGTACAAGCCGTCTTGTATCATCTCCTGCTATTGCCTTATACTCCCCACTCCTCCCTCCTGCTATATGAAGCCATATAAATTTTATCTGGTAAAGTGTTAAGTCCCCTCTAAACTATAGGAATAAATTTTGTTTCTCAAGGCACTATTCTTTGTTCAGCACATTGGACTAAAGTCAGAAAACAAATTCCTAGAGTCCACAGTGTCTGCAAAAACTACCTCGGGTTCCCAAAATATGTTTGAGTTGCTACATCAAATAAATATTAACCTCAGGAAGAAATGTCTTTATTGGTCTTACTGGTCTCTCCTTATACCATTTGATATGATACTGGCAAGAGCAATGAACTTAATCAAAAATAGTAGAGCTGTTCTGTACAAAGACTGGGAATGCAGAGCATTTTGCCTGTGAGTAGCTGCCATGTGAATTTATAATTAACCATCTGACTGAGAATTATGTTTTGTTTTACAACTTCAGAGTATCCAGAGTTAGGAGTTTAACTGAAAAAGCTGAATTCTACCCCATAACTAATGAACCTCACATACAGCTATGAAAGGCACTTTATCCCAAAAGGTACTTGGTAAAATAGATACAGTATTGCTAGCCAGAAACTATAGAGGCCCCCTGACATCCTAATCTTTGCAAGACAATTTTGTCCACATGAGTTCCCAATATCTTAAATGCCTGCAGTCAAGAGTTGCCAGAGATAGCTGGTTAGAAGCTTCAACTCCCTGAAGAGTTGCGAACTTGCTAGAAACAACTTATTTTAAATCTGCACAAGTTGGCAGCTGTCCTCCTCTGTTAATAAAGGAGTCCACAATACAAGAAGACCATTGAGAGAACAGACCCCACTGTAACTGCAATGAGAACAGGCATTAGAAGCAAGCCGAGGAACTGATCCAAGTTCTGACTCAGTGATTTTTTTTTTGTTACTATTTTAGAGACAGGATTGATTGAGAATGATTTAATATGTCATCACGAAAGCATAACCAAGAGATTATTGCTTCTTCCAAATTATGTCTTAGCCTTGAAATTGCATCCCTCCCACCATAAACAATTTTTTTCTTACCTTGAAGGGGGAAGGATTAGCAACAGTCAAGTAGCACCTCATACTACAAAAGTTACAGGGAGTAACTGCCAATAGCCTGGCACTGCAAGGACCTCACACTCACCCGGCAGAGGTGAGCTCTGACCTGTCTCCATCTTGCACGTCTGCCAGTGCTGCCTCTCAAAATATTGCAGCAGTAGTTGTGTCATTTTCGCCTGTGTCAGTGCTAACTTATGAGATCAGCTGTGCTTCTCCAACAGGAGACCCACACTGTCCATTACTCTGCGCAGACTATTACTCTCAAGAACAAACACGTTACCTGACACTTGTGCCTAAAATGCTGCTGAAATAATTGAAGAAATACTTCATGATCTGGCTGGCAGTGGTAGTGCAGCCTACTAAAGCTTTCAACTTAGGAGATACATCATTTTACTTCAGTGCTAGCATAATAATCAAGAACAATACTTTAACTGCTTGACTCATTTTATTTTTATCCCCTTGGCTGCATTTGAGTTTTACAGTGGTTTCTTGAAAATCATTCATTCTTGTAGACCTCTAGGAGGTAACAGACAACACTGAAGCAATTGTACATATAAAATTACTTATGTTTACAAATTTTTGGCAATCATAATCACCCGTTTTATCCTATTGCCATTGCCCCAATCATTGAAAAAGAGAGTGTACAATAATTTACATCTGAAGTATTTCAAAGTGCTTGATAGTGATTTTCCAATAATTATTTACAAGTGGCCTATAGACATATGTACAGGTGTTACAAGTTGTGGCTGGAATATGGCTTTCTATGGAAAGTGCTTTATATTTGGTCAGTGATGTTACTGACTAACCAACCCAAGGGTTACTGATAAAACTGTAACCACTAACAGCTGAATTGTTGTGGACAGGTATTTACAGAGTTGTTAAGCTGTAGAAAATAACTATTTACACAAGTGTTCCATAAACACAGAAAGTATCTTCTTTCTTCCAAGAATGGAGGAAGTCCTTCAGCCACAAACCTGGTTACTATCCCCAAAGAGTGTAAGACACAAGTAAACTGAAAGTGATTGCTGACCCAGTGCTCACGCCATATCATCATCTGTGCTGACAACAGATATCTGTAAAAAAAGTAAGTACAAGTTAGCTACAGTTGCACTAATAAAAGACAAAGCAACACACATCATTGCTAATTCTGCAGGCTAGTGACCACATTCAGCACAGATTACTCCATCCTAGGTACAGACACTAGTTACCTACCAGAACTTTAACCTTAATTATAGGGTAAAGTTGTCAGTTGGTTCAACCCAGTAGTGCCTGCAGCCAGCAGCTTTCAAAAGCAGAGACCTCTCCTAAATTCAGTTCAGGTATCATTTGGCAGTCTTTCTACTCCAATTATTAACCTGGAGTCTCAGACATAATAGGTTTACTTACTGCAGGGTAGGTGTGTCCTACTGAACCACTGTGTCTTCCAATATCAATTGTGAGGTCCTCTTCTGTGGTTTTCAGGTAAACTGGATTATCAAAATTCATGCTTTTCATGTTCTTGTGCTGCCAGTTACGCCACATGAAGTAGCCAGCTGCTGCAGCCATCATCAGCAATACTGCAAGGAGATAGAGAGATTGCAAACATGGAGTAGAGTCAGGTCAAGCTCCTAAGAGTGGCTTGTCCCACAATATGGGGTCCAAAAAGCTAGTAAATGCTCTACTCACCAGCAGGAAGAATGATCCAAGCTGCTGATGTTCTTCCAGCTGCCGTTACTTCAGAGGTTGTACCACTAGTGTTGAACGCTGCATGAGAATTTGACGCAGTGAGCTTGCGTACTGACAGGCTGGCAGATTGCCATAATCAAGCATTTCCCAAACCCAGAAGCTCCTATTTGATTAGTTTCTCTGCTAGAACAGCCTAACATGCTTCATCCTGTATTAGTTGGAAGCTTTCTTTATTGCTTGCCTTTACCGAGCACTCCTGGGATTTCATGGAACCTACAGATTCCACACTGTCCTATGTGAACTAAATCTGTTTAACACATGCTCCAGATGCTACACTACACAAGTGATCTGGCCTGTGTTCTCTACTTGCATGCAAAGGAAAAAGCTTCCACGTGGGCTAGTTGGTCAGTTTGCATTTAATTTCTCTAATGTTTAGCAGTGTGAGTTATTGGGACCAGTACCTCCAGGAACTAGTCCAACAGTTGGAGATTTTTCTGTTGTGCTGGTATCTTTAGCCTCAGTGTAAGCCACAGTTGTTCCAGTACCTGAAACTAATTATAGATCAAGAGCTAATTATAGATCAGTTAATCCTGAAGTTCTGCAATGGCTTTGCTATGAGAGCCATGGTAGTGAAGGTTCAGCAGATGGCAAAAATGATCATGCAGGCTGTTAGCTTCACTGGGAACACTGACTTTAACTATTTCACTAGCACACCCTTAGCAGAGAGTTCTTGATGGAAAGTAGTTCCAAGAACAAGGCCAGGCAGTGAATCAGGAATGAATTACAGGCATTTAAAGTCACAACAGTCACAAGCCATCCCACCCCTCGCATAAGGTTTTCTGAATAAGATTTTAGTTTTACAAGTTTACTGGTTAAGTACAGCCTTTGATACCCATAGCAACCTTTTAGTGCAGCCAAGGGAGACCAGCATCCTTGCATTTAGCACTCTGTGGCAGTCAGAATCAATATGCAATATAGTCAGTGGCACCTTGGAGTTTCTAGTTCCACTCCACAGGACAAAGCAAGCCTGCTGTATAGTCAGTAGTGACAACTCTAGTACAGCAGCATGCTCAAAGGGAGGTAAAAGCTTCCTCGGGCAGCAGCATTAGCCAATCACCTTTTGATCTGTGTATTTATAGGTACAGCCATGTTAGTTTATACCCCTGTTTTGTAAGAGGCTGAGTATATTTTGTCCTTGTGCTTGCTGTCTGCAGAAAGCCATGGAGGTACAAGATCCTGTTGCAAATGATGATGATGACACAGAAGCAAAGCATGGACTTTGAACAGCACCTACAGACTCTAAGGGCCACATTAATGCATAAGGACCTCCCCTCCAGGATTAATTACATCAGATTAACTTTAGCAAAGCTGTAGCCTATAGTGGTGTATTTCCTTCCCCCTAATGGTTCAACACTCTCATACTCCTTCGCCATTCATCCTGGGAATTATCTCAGTTGTGTTACAGTACCTGTACATCTCAGACCATCCTCCTGTAAGAAGTATCCAGCAGGACATGCACAGGTGTACTTTGGAGAATGTTCATTTATCTGAGGAGCAGGCAGGCACAGGTAGCTACAACCTCCATTTGCCATGTGCTCTTCACACCAGTTCCTACCTGTTGGTACAGCAATTCAGGAGTGAACAAGAGTGAGCCTTCATGCTCCAGGTGTTCTGCTGAAGTATTTGGTCAGTAATTGTTTTAGTAAAATTACATGTCTCAGCTGGTTATAGATTTATATCTGCTCTGCCCAAGAAAGAGCAATTGCAACTAGACCTCTCAACCCCCTTGGGGCTGCCTATATGAGAAGCTCCAAGAGCAGGAGTAGGAATGGACAGCTGTACAGTGAAGGGATAACATTTGCCACTGTCCAGGCAGGGCAGGCTTCTTACAAGTATGCACCCACTTAACTATAAACTGTATTGAAATTACCTGAAGGCTGAACAAGTTCATGATACACAATGATGTCCTGTGCATCATTGAGGTTGTTCACAAGAGTAATCAAATCTGTTCCAGTAAATTTGTTGGCACCATAGACCGCCTCATTCTCTCCGTCAATCCAGTACACACGGTCCTAGAAGACAATGCCATTGCATTCCATTACCTCCATGGTGCTATCAGCCCCATAGCAGCAAGAAGAGGATCTTTGACAATGACCACAGGAAGTCATTCTTACCTCAAAAATGGTTAGAGCAAGAGGATGAGGAAGGAACATATGTGACTTCAGCACAATTCTACGATCCTGGCCATTCAAGTCCACACTTGACACCATGTGTAGTTTGGAATCAAGCCAGTATAGGCGGCTTTTTACAAGATCTAGGAGGGGGAAAACACCAATGCATTTAGTGTCCACATGGAGGAAACCTCCAAAGCTCGCTGCAAGAATTGAAACGCGCAGGTTTGAGAATGGTGGCAGTGTTGCCCTAGTTTCTTACCATTCCAGCATACAGAGGGCTGCTGCAGTGATGCCTATGTGGCCTGTGCCTCAACTATAATATACAGCAGTTTAGGAAAAGTTACTATTTCAGTATCTGAGAAGTGTTGATGCCTGTTGCAGTGTCTTCAGGCATACAGAAGCTTCCCTTTCTCAGAAGCTGAAAATACTTCTCTGAAGAATGACCTTGGTAGCAAAAAAATTGCTTAAGCTCCAGAATACCTCTGGCAGAGACAAGTTCAACATACCTAGAGCAATTCCATTAGGCCATTGGATTTCTGTTGTCACAAGCTGCTGTCTGTCAAATCCATTCATTCCTGCTTTTTCAATTTTTGCTGGCTCACCCCAGTCTGACCAGTACATAAAGCTGTGAAGCAGAATTTATGTTGTATGATGCACTATAGTACTGTGTAGTATCACTCTTTATTATGACCAATAACTAACAAAGGCTACCTAAGTCAGTTATCAGAACACATAGCTGGTAGGTGTACTCTTTTAAAAGAGCCTGGACAAATACTCACCCAGAAATAGGATCTACAGCAATAGAAGCTGGCTCTCTCAGCTCAGAGAGAAACAAAACCTTTCTTTTTGTGCCATCTAGGCTAGCCACTGAAATGGTCTTTGCAGCTGAGTCTGACCAGTAGATGTTCTTATAAACCCAGTCAACAGCAATTCCTGCAGGGCTGTGTATGTTGTCCAGGATTCTGATGTGTGTTCCAACTTTATCACGGGTATCAATAGAGGCACTGGAAGACAAGAATTACTTGCTTTCAACCACTTCCACTGCAGATACTATCCCTTGGCACACCTCAGCAAATACTGCACAAGATTTCAGGCAGAAGATGCATGTGGGACTTTCCACAGAGTGCCTTTTGTACAAATGTAGCAGCAGTTACTAGGAAGTGCAGCAGGCATACACATTGGTAGCTGTGGGAGCTTGCATCAACTGTACTTTGTCTTTAGGACACCAGGAATCTAGTTTTCATTACCAGAGACTAGAGAAATAGGTCTTCCTTGGGTAAAACCATGGGATAGTTTAGGGAAGTACACTAGGTTCAAAAGCTAAGCCCATTTACCTGAAGATTGCTTTCTGGCTGAAGTCTGCCCAGTAAAGTTTTTGCTCAGCAATATCAGCATCTAGAGCTATAGAGTTTCTTAGCTGCTCTACAAGCTGAATATATTCTTTTCTCTCAAGGCCAATCTTCCTTATGTCCCGGCGGTTGGTGAAAATTAGACTTGGTTCTTTCCCTGTAAAAAGAGTTTGTTATCTATACTTCTGGATATTCAGTCACATGCTTTTCTTTTACAGAAAGTTTTAAGAGTCATCATATTTAGCATTTGCCATTCCACACTTGCTAGCAGATGCTGACAGAGGTCTTGGCTGTACCATACCTCATCCTTTTCTCCCTCCACAACTTGATGGGGAGGATCCTCCTGCCCAGGGAGTAGACACAAGCAGTTTACGTCAGGCAGCTTTAATTACTGTATCATGGCATCATTTGAAGTGTTAATAGTGATCAGTAACACCATAATAGCTAGTGTAAAAACCACAGTAGTATAAACAGTGCATCATTTGCTGACTCATTTTAAAGTGGGGATATGAAAGTCATGTCAACACTCACCAACTGCCTTGCACACCCCAGTAGCAAGATCCATCTGATAGCCACGGCTACATTCACATTTGTAGCCCCCTTTCAGGTTGATACAGATCTGACTACATATACCAGGGTTCTGACATTCATCAATATCTGTAAAAACAAAAATTTAATTTATGCTCACTTCCAATATCACCAGTAGAGGCCATGTCAAACTATTAGATACATACCTCCACAGGTTCTCCTGTCCAGAAGCTCAAATCCAGCTGGACAGTCACATTCATAGCCAATAATGAGATCTCTGCAGATATGAGAGCATCCACCATTGTTCACCAGACATTCATTGATGTCTAGAAGAGAGAATTGGCCACTTCTGAGAAGGTATTCTTGTTTAGTTTTATAGTCTTAGCCATGGAGCACTTTTCCAGGTACGCATCCACTTTCTAACAATGCCTGCCACATCTGATAAACAGTTCTGGCACGCAAAGTCATATACAAGAGAACCCCCCCAAATTCACGTTCGCTCAGCTACCAGCACTTTCTCTGTGTTACAAGCAGGCAGCAATAAAGATTGAGGTTCCTGAAGTTTCAGTGTTTCTAATGCATTCAAGTGCTTTCCTGACTACAAAGAAATCATCCTATCAGCCAGTTTGGCTATGATAAAACTAGCCTATTAACTAGGTTGGTCTCAGTTGTAAATTTGCCACCAAGAAGTGCCAATGGGCATTCCAGCTGACATCTGACAACTCAGAGGCTGTATCTAAGCATATCTAGTAATCAGCATTGTGCAAAGAGTTTATTCACTTACTACACTCCTTGAGGGGCTCATCACTCCAGTCCTTGCAGTCTCTCTGCTGGTTACACACTTTATTGATATCTATGCATTCGCCACTCCTGCACTTGAATTTGCCAGGTCCAGAGCACTGAATAACTGACATAAAGAAGATTGTGAGGGTGACTCCCAACTTCAACAGATATTCTGCAAAGACTTTATTCTTGCTCAGTTCCACACTTACCATTGTTACAATTTGCTTCATCTGTGCCATCCAGACAATCTCTCACACCATTGCACTGCCTAGTCCCATGGATGCAGTTCCCATCTTCACATCTGAATTGGTCTGGTCTGCAGGTCCGAGAAGCTGAGGACACAGTCATTACAGACTTTTACTCCTGAGGGTTACTGAAGCAAAGGAAATAAAAGAGGAGTCAAGCAGTATCTCCTAGAGAAGGACCAAGTGAACTTACGGCAGTTGATTTCATCACTTCCATCCTTGCAGTCAGGATCTCCATCACAGCGCCACTTTTTGTGGATACATTCACCTGAGCCACACTGCACCTCACTGGCAGAGCACTTCACAGAAGGTGCAGGCTGGCGGCCACACTGCTCTAGAGACTCATCTGAGTGGTCAGAGCAGTCAGCATCATCATCACACACCCAGCTGAGGGGAATGCAAGTCGAGCTCTTGCACTGGAACTCATGAACTCCACAGGTAGGAGGTGCGCACTCCAGCTCATCACTACCATCACTGCAGTCATCTTGACCATTGCAGACAAAGCTCTTGGAAATACATTGCCCACTGCTGCATGTGAAGTCTGCTGGACTACAAGTCACATTGCCTGGGGTAATGGGAGTAAGAGAGATTAATACATTGTCACAAGAAGGCTGACTTTTGTGTGAAGATATTTTGTTTTTCAGCTGCTAGCTGACACAATATCAGCATCCTGTACAAGGCAATAGGGAAGCCCAAATGACCACCTACAGGACACTTGAGTTCCACAGACCATCCTCATTGCCTTTGGACATTGTAAGTGATAGGCATCAGATTTGAACTACTGAGTGAAAATAACCTTTTGAAGTAGCTAGGCTGTCCTGCACTTCAGATTGCAAGTCTTTCAGAAAACAGGGTCTAACACTGTGAACCAAAGACAGAAGGTAAAAGAAATGCTAACTCAAGAGTACAGACTAAGATTAAGGTAGTCTGATGGTCAGCATGTACTGTAATTTGAAATTAAAGTGTTTTGTGCTGGTCCCCATGACAGCAGTGCCCCATTCGCTTGGACCAGTAGGGATAACAGACCAAGGTGTTGCCTGAGTTGATCCTGTGGTTAAGCACACCCATGCAATTTATGTCAGTACAAATTATGCTGGTTTAACAGCAATGTAGCTAATAGCTCAGTGTGCCTAGGCTCATAGTTTTATCAGCTCCTTTAGAAACACTGCCTGTAGATTTACTTGTAGATTAAGGCATTAGTTTGTTGAGTAAGATGGCAACTCCACAGACACAGCAAAATTCTGGAGATCTGTGTTTCATTAGGCCATCCACGTAAGGTGGTTCTGATGGAAGCCAGCCCTGTGCCTTCGGTTACAGCAAGTATGTCTCAGAACACCTCAGAAAACTCAAATGTATGCAAATTCTTTTGAATAAGTCAGGAATGTTGGCTTTAATGCTGCAATGGCAGCTTTACTTGCATACCAGCCTGAAGTTCCCTCCCCGCTGCCCCAGCCACCCAAACATCAGAAATCCAGCTCCACAGATATTTCAGGATAGGACTATAAGGTAGATTAGCTATGCTCTTTGCTAAAAGTTGCTGCTACACTTTTAGGAGACAATTTGTTAATGTAAGTAGCAATTTCAGGAACTCTCCAGAAAACAAGTTCTGACAGTTGGCTTGCCAAGTGACTAAACATACCTATGGCTACTGCCAAAATGAGCAGAGAAAAAAAGACACACATTAAAAAGCTTACATTATTGTAGCTCTTAATTTAGCAGGAGGGAGGATTGTTACAAAAAGTTTGCTTTAAGTAGCTGCAAAACAAGATTAATGTAGGAGAGATATTGACACTATCAAAAATTTATCTTCCCAGATGTACTGCCCAGGTAGCTCCTTTCCAGACAAGTCAATTTCAAATAGAGTTATGCAATTGCCATTTCTCTCCTTACCACAATTCTGTTCATCTTCTTCACTGTCACAGTCTTTTTCACCATCACATTTCCAGGACACTGGGATACACTGAGTTGACTGAGGACCACAGCTGATCTCATTTACCCGGCATGTTCTTGTGTCTATTGAAAAAAAGTTTTAGTTCAATCTAGGAGCCACTTGGGTATCAGCTTTGTGCTGAAAATTGAGACTGAAAGGCTTCAGGTCTGGGCAAAATTGCAATTATTTAGATGCCAACATCTGTACAAATTGATGGAAAAGGCTATACTATTCTGTAATGTTCAGTTAAAAAAAGATGTTTCTAATTCCTAAGAGATTAATATTTTAAGGGTACCTTTGTAGTGGTAGCTTTGTGACTGCATGCTGATTACACTGTAGCAGCTTGAGCTACAACAAGTAGTAGTGGGGAGGAGTAATGCCAAAGTGCACTAGGACTTGGGCTGAAATATTCCCCACTGTGGATCCTACTGATAAAGGAAAATGACACTTTCTATACTATAGATCTATACTGCAGTGAAAAGTCTCCTCAAGACCCTGACAAGGCCAAGCACTTAGGAAGGTGCTCCCCAAGACAAGTGCATCCCTGCTTCAGGAGGAGAGCCAGACTGCAAGCAGGCAGGAAGTCAAAATGCTCCTCCCCAGAGGCCTGGCTACACCACCACGCCAGGTTCACTTACGGCACAGCTCGGAACTCTCATCAGACCCATCCTCACAGTCGGGATCCCCATCACACTGCCATCTGTTAGGCACACATTGACCACTGAGGCACACAAAGTCAGATTCGGCACACGTCTTCTTCACTGCAAGGGAGAAAAAGACACTTGTTTAGCTACCAGAGGTTAGCTTATTTAGTGCTAACAGGGATCAGCTTTGCTGCCCTAGAAAATTATTCAATGTCCTTGGTTTGTGGATGCCTGGTGTTGCCCCCCACCAACCTAGTAAACAGTGCTGTTGACCACTTCCTACAGAGTAGAAAGGGGTCAAGTATTTCTCTGTGTACAGAGAAGCATTTATATGCACCTAATCAGGCACTGAAGGACCACTATTGCTAAGGAGACTAAGCAGGTTAGTTTATATTAGCTGCTGCTTTAAACAGACCTAAGTTAAAATAAAGTCTGCTGATATTAATATTTAGGTTTTGAACTCTGAGTTTATAGTCAAGGCATTTGATTTGTCATTACAGAAGCATGGTACTATGTAACTCTAGGGTAATAGTTTAGGTCTGCCTGAGGAGACTGGCAGTTCAACCACACCAGTGATGGATATAGAGTATGCTTTGCCTGGTCTCCAAGTAAATCTAGTCATCTATCTTGGCTTCTATGCCTGCTTAAAGCAAAGGTTGGCAGCCAAAGCTAGACTTAATGTTTATAGGAGACACAGCAGAATTACTTCCACATATAAAACAGGGCTTTTAGCCATGGAATAGCCAACAGCAGAGTGCTAATAGCAAACATTTTCTATTATGTATTCAAGAAACAACTGAGAACAGGCTTATATTCTGTTCCTGTCAGTCATCACTCTCACAAGTGAAGAATTTTGGTCACAAGCTTTGTCTCAGTTGCCAATTTCAGGAGAGTTAGATAACACTCAGGAAAATTCAATTGCCTCAGATGGGTACAAGGAATCAATAGTGGTTATTCTAAGAAATTTGTCCTTGTGTTCCAACTGCCTGAAGTGCTGAGCAGGAAAGTATCTCTCCAGCTATCTACTGTTAAGCCCCACTTCCAACTAGCAAGTACTACTACAGAGGTATTATTTTGATTACTTACCACAAGCACTCTCATCACTGCCATCTGAACAGTCTTCATCACCATCACATTTCCAGATTTGAGGAATACAGCGTCCATTACCACATGCAAACTGAGATTCTTCACATTTTGCTCTTGCACCTTCAATGAAAAAAAACCTACACCTCAATACTGTTAAGCAATGCTAGACTGTCTTTTTTACCACCTCCCTAAAACCTTCTGATTTTTATAGATTCCCACAAAGCAATACCTTCTTGCTTTCCCCACTGATCAAGAAGCTACCCAGCCTAATCAAGAGCATAACATCAACACAAAACCAGATATGAGCTCCAAATTTCTGCAATCACCTTATTAGATTATGAAAGTAAAGCCAAAAGCTTTCCTTCACAGTACAAGAAAGTTTAAGCACCATAGCCATTCACCTGCCAAACAGCAGCAAACAGTCTCAGTGTTATTCTCACTCAGTTTTCCTCTTCAAGGCAAGGTCAAGCTTACAAAAATGCGTGCCCAAAATCACTTTTGCTGCCTCGCACCTAGCATCACATTCTCAAAACTCTTCAAACTTTAAGCAAATTGGGTTTAAATTTGATTAATGTCAAGCTAGATTAGCATTTCAATGCTCTGCTGCTAACACATTACAGCAGAATCCCCAAGACATCTGTAAAGGTAGCTTAGATAACTGCTTTGTAGCTGAGCAAGTTTTCATGCTTTATGTAACCCCTCAAAAAGTGGCATCCAGAGACATTCCTTGGTATACATTAAAAAAAGTGTGATGCTAAAAGAGCAAGGTAATTTATCACCTCCTTCTGGAATTAAGTCCATTGTCTCACAACTGGCAAATCTTGGTTTGCTAGTATGTTTGAGTAGGGTACTGCTTTCTGCAAGATCCTTGGAGTGCATTTTCCAGTGTATCTTCAGCTCTACAACTGTATGACCCCATCCCTCAAGGGAATGCGCTTTGACTTGGAAGCCCTGCTATAACTGTCACTAAAAGCAGCAGCCTGCATCTTCAGCAGCTAAGCCAGAGCTGTTCCACTTAATGCACGCAGGCAAGTGTGTAAGATTGTGCATCAGTATTGGCTGCACATGCCCAGAGCATGATGCAAGACTCCTGATCCTTCTTGGTTTATTGCATCATTTAGTGAGAGTGCTTTGTCCTGGCATTCAAAGGGCATCAAATTTTAGTAGAGTATTATTTGCTATTTTTATGTCCTCTCAGTATGACACGCAAGATGCAGGACAGTTTCCAAGCAGAAGGAAGGTACTCAGCCATTTTACATTATACTGGCTAGCCATCGGGCATGAGGTATTCAAATGCTGGACAGTACAAGCAAGAACATGAGCAATTCTATCTGCTGAATGTCTCATGTAAATCCCTGAGCAAGGATGTGAAAAAGCACCTTACTGAGTTCTGCTAATGTTTTAGTAGCCTTATGGGGGGAGTAGAGCGGTAACCCAGTCGTAAGAACAAAGTTAACAACTTTTTAATGGGAACTATGTTTAAAAAGTACCAAAAATCAGAACATCAGTTATTGTGTATACTATTTCCATTCCCTTGTTTCCTTTTCTGGTTGGGAATTACAGCAGCATGTGCTTTCTAATAGCGTGGCTTTGTAAAGTTGCTACTACTACTTGGTCATGAGCTGCCAGTCAATTAGCTTGCCTTGTGCTAGACAGCACACCCAGCCACCTAAGAGTGGGAGTAGGTGCCACAATTAGAAGCTTGTTGTAAGCCTGATATCTTGTTGTCCAGCAATCTCTAAAGGAGGGTTAGAGTTGTGGGCCCTGGTGACATATTTCAGGTTTTACTGTACCACTGCATGAAATAAAAGAAACAACAACCAACTCCTGCTAGTTTCAGGACTTCCTCATCCAGGCGTTCAGAGTGAGAACAGTCAACCTTTCCCAAAATAGCATACAGAGATATTAGACTAAGCCTGCCACTAAGGAGATCCCAAAATAACTCCATGGCCCTTAGTTACTCTAAGCGAGAATAACCAGAAAAGGATCGCTAAGGCTGCCTAGTACATTGGGACTTACAAATGTAACACCATTTTGATCAAATGCTACAGGGAAGCTACACACAAGACTAACAGAAACCAGAGCTGAGCTTGGAGCAACAGCTGTAACTTTACAATTACAATCCTAACAACAAACCGTTCCAAGAATATATCATTGCTTCTGCAGCTGATACCAAGGGAAATGTCAGAGGTACTACTTTTAGCCCACAAACAAGTAAAAAAAATCAACAAGACCCAACACCTACACAGGTGCACAAAGGTAGAGGTCAGCATCTGCTACTGCTCCTGAAGATGTGTAAATGCAAAGCTTCTCTTTATGTGCTCTTCTTACAGTAGAAGCACCTTCACACATTTTCTCTTCCTTGGAATATATCTTAGGCTGAAAAATGTTGATAACAGTAACAACAGAGCCTGTGACTGCTAACACATATTGTTTTACTGTTCCCCAGATAACTACTTACTAGAAGCAGCAATGGGTGTAGGGTGAAGGAGCACAGTTACACTGGCTACCCAAGTTAAACTACCCTTCTCCATATCTCTGCTATCACTGTTAGTCTCAGCCCCTTAAGCAAGTTGCCAGATTACTTGTCTGGGCAGCTTCAAACATGTGACACTTGCGTACTGTCATCTGACACCAAGTCCCAGAAAAGCTTCGACCGACCGTGATTGGGAAACCTTGTGAGAGCTCATATAGGAACTAGCTTAGACTTCTCCCAGACCCTGGCAATTACAACTAGCAGCAGAAGAGAGCTGATGGGGCCACTAACTCAAACTGAAAGAACAATCAGAATAACTTGGTTAGCAAGCCTACTAACTCCCATAACTGTATATCTCTTGTGATGACTTCTGAGCACAGTGAAGTAGCATTTTCAGTGCCAGCCAGCTTGATCTTTCATTCTACAACTATTTAACCATGTCTGTTGTGACCAGGCACGTGAGCAACCTACAGGACTGGGAGACCAGAGGTGACTAGCAGACATTTCTCCTCCCTCTCTTTTTATGAATTCTGGATACAACAACATGCTGACAGGGCTCTACCCAACATACCTGGTGTCTAAACAACCGCACGCCGTTATAGGAAACACTACCGAGATCAGACACTTAGGCCTACTTTAGGACAATAGTCAGGAGATTTAAGAGCAATAAGACAATGCAGACTTCCCACTGCCCTCCTCCTACCTAGGAGAGCAGGCTGAAGCTCAGCTCCTCAGGGAAGAAAGGAGTCAGCCAATGATTATTACCTCCACTAAAGAGTAAAATAAGCCAGTTGGATGGTCGTTTTTAAACCTCTGCCAATACGGGCAATAGCTTCTACGCCGCGAGGCAGCCCGGGAGCCGGCCACGAGCAGCGCCACTGGCGAACGCCCAGCCCCGGGAGCAGGGACCCGGCGCCGGCAGGACCCAGCCTTGCCACCAGGTGGAGACCCCTCACGGTGGTTGCTCCGGACCCTGAACTAGAGCCATGCCAACACCGCTGGATAACACAAAGCCTAAGTTGCACCGCAGTTTGACAGCACCTTTAACGCCGCGAGCTTCCCAAGCGCTCCTCTTTCGCCGTCCACAATAGAGCCCCAATCCTCCCCGACCCTCTCGCGTTAGCCTCAGCCCCTCAGACCCTCCTCCTTAGTATCGATCAGGAAGGCGGGCCCCTCCCGCAGCGGGCGGGGGGCTCCCGGGGCTCGGTCGCCCCTCGCCGCTCCCGCCGCCCGGGGCCCCGGGGGGAAGGCGGCGCCTCGCCCGGCACGGGGGGCGGCGGGGCCGACGCGGCGGCAGCGCCCCCCTGTTCACCCGGGCCCGCCCCGCTCCCCCCGGGGCAGCGGGCAGGCAGTCCGAAAGAGCGGGAGAAAATAACGAGAGCGAGGCAAAAGTAAAGGGCGGTGGGAGACGGCGTCGCCGCGGGGGCAGCGGCGGGAGCCGCCCCGGCGGTGCGGGCCCCAGCCCACTTCCCCGGCTCCGCACTCACCGTCGGCGGCGGCGCGCAGGCAGCCAAGGGCGAGCAGCAGCAGCAGCGCCCAGCAGCGCGGGACCCCGCTCCGCTCCGCGCCGCGCCTGCCGGCCGAGGGGCTCGGCTCTCCGCGCTGCCGGTCCAGCCGCATCGCCGCGTCGGGGACGGGGTGCGCGGGCAGGCAGGCGCTGCGGGCGGGGAGCCGAGGAGCAGAGGCGGCAGCCGGAGACATACACGGGGGGAGGCCGTCCCCACGGCGCTCTTATAGCAGCCGCCCGGCCGCCCTGCGCGCCCGCTAGTGACTCACGGCGCCGCGCCGGGCCCCGGTTGGCTCGCCAGCACCGCCCGCCCCCGCTGCCTCCTCCGCGGCACCTGCTGCCGCCGCGGCGCGCCCGCACACCGCTCGGCGCGGCTCGGCGGGGCACGGGCGGCGCGGTGAGTGGCGCTGCGGCGGCGCGGAGCGGTGAGGTGCTGCGGGCTGAGCCCCTGCGCCCCCCCGCCCGGCCCTCCTTCCGCAGGGCGGGGACGGGCGCGGTGCGACCCTGCCGCCAGAGCCTGCGCCGGGGCGGCGGAGCGCGGCACTCCCGGCGGCAGCGGGTCGGGAGGCGCGGCGGCAGCGGCGGCTTTGTTTCCCCGGCGTGTCCCCAGCGCCGCTGCCACGGGGAGGGGGGATGCGGCTCCCCCGGTCCGGGCGTGCCGAAACCCGCGCTGCGCCCGGGCTGCCTCCGAAGAAGCTTTTCTTCCACGCGGCGCTCACCGCCCCATGCGCACATGCTCTCGTGTTTGTGCGGTTTTCCCCTCCCTCCGTAGCGGAACTTGATTTACAAGGAAGCAGGCGCGGCTGTAGAGGAAGACAAGCGCTACTTCTGCTTAATCCGATCGAAGGATCGTAGTTAATCAGTAATTTTACAAAACGATATGTCAAAATCGTGTAATTACAAGCTTAACCTTTTATTTAAGGAGGAGAATTGGTCGTTTTATGCCACGTTTGTAGCGTTTCATACATCCAATTACGTCTCGGTGAAATATACATAGAAAAGAAGGACTGATAAAATGCAAAGTTGCTTTTGTACGCGGCACCCTTCGAATTTGAAATTGTGCTTTCTAAAATACTCTGATTTTTTTTTTTTTAAAAGTATGCTTATAGACCTGCTAGTTCATGGTGGTACTGTGTGCTGTGCTTTTTAATACTGTTGTGCAGATACAAACCTCAGCAAGCAGCTTCATCCAAAAATGATGAAAAAGCTGATTGCTGTTTCTTCCCTTGGAAATGAAATTTTGATTTATTAGCCTAATACTTTAAGTTTTCTCCAGTAACATGAATGATTCCTCCAGTGAAGCGAGCATCTTTGATTTTCCATGTTTCCTCCATGTCATAACATATTTCTTTGTATGTTATTTGCAGAGTGAAGCTCTTTTTGATTCACATCTGGTTGTATCATGACTACACTAAAGTCAAACCATACTACTGCATGAATAACTTTGGAGTGGATTATCTCTTGCAGTTCATGTAACAAATGACTGCACATGCCATCCAAATGGGCAAATAGCTGCTGTATCAGAGACTTTAAAAGATTTTTAAAAGTCAAGATTTGTTTTAGTGTAACTGAAATACATCTGGGGATTATATTTCTCATATGTATGTGTAAATATGAAGAGAGCAGTTCCTAGTGTTTGCCTTCCTACAGCTCTTCCACTTCATGGCCTCAAGGGCAAAGACTGCTTTCCCAGCCTGCCTGCTATGTGGCATTAGATGCTACAGCCTTCTTGCAAACATATGCTGCTTCAAGCAAGAAAAATCTTTTGTGTACACGGGGGTTGACTGGGGTCCTCAAGAAGGCGGCTTAGTGTAAGTAGTGTGTTGAAAATATAATTCCCCTTGCAGATCTACAGCACAACATACTGCCTTCAGAGCTCACTGCTGCATGGTCTGCTGTGCTTTGAGCTGAACAGAATTTTCATAAAGGTCCTGCTGTCATTACAGAAATATTTTATAAGCCAAATCCTGGTATGCAGTGCACAAGAAGACTCTAGTCATGGAGAAATGAAAAGCTGGACATACCTTGGTGTATCCTGGTAGCTGATGGCCTTCCTTGTTTGTCAGTAGAAGATACAGGTTTACTGGAGGGAGAAAAATCATTCATTGTGCCCTGCATTATGGCTGCTCCATAATCATCTGCACCTGGCTTTGTGATGGGGGTCCAACTTTCTGTCTGGGATTTACCTAGCTCTTCACACACCTCAGGGTTTGGACTCCAAAGCAGAACTTGGTATAAAGTAATGTTTATGATTTCAGCTATATTAAAGTGCTTGAGTAAGTTAGTGTATGAATCTTACAATCTACAGGTTTTGGTGGCATCTCCATAAAGGATTTCCAGACAGAAAAGTTTTCTCCATCCTTAACACCATCCTTACAGGAACTCTGTTCAGGAAAGGGGCAGGAATCAGGATGCTATGAGATGGTCTGCAAGATGGGTGCCATCTGCACTGAGGTTTCATGCTTTTGCAGCAGCTATATTCTTTCAAAATCTTGCTTCATGTGGGTATGAACGGTATATTGGGGATGTCTGCAGTGTGTATAATGAATACAGAGTCATTTGTTCATACAAGGATACAAGCCAGAATATATCTCTACAGGAGAATAGAATAAAATTGTGGGTTTCTGTCTGTTAAAAATACATGGAAGAATATCAGTCCTACTGTGCTAGTGATAATGTAGGAGCAAAGCACCCAGGATGGTCTAAGGTTTAGGAAGTGTGCTGAACTTTGAAAGGAATGTGATCTGGCTCTTGTAATTGTAACTCCTTTATTCATTTTGTTGGGGAAAATGCATTAACATTTGTTTGTTTCCATTAGTGACCTGCAGCCTTTGTTTTTTGCAATACGTGTTTGAGTTAAACTTCTTCAGCTCAGACGAAGTCAGGAAGCTGCAGACAGCATGTGGATAAGTAAGTGCACAACCTCACTACAGAGAGGGAGTGTGTAGAGAAGCCTGGCATTGCCATCTCAGTTAAGCAAGTTCCCATAGTCACGTGGTATATGGTATTGAATATTATGCATAATTGTTTTATTACTGCTAATTGTTTTTAGCAAAGTCTCCAAATCTCCACCCTCTTTTCTGGCTGTAACTGGTGAATATTCTTGAGTATGAGATGTTCTCTTGAAAAAGCTGTAAAGTACTGCCAAGAAGCCAAGCAAACCACTTAGGCATTTCCTTCACCTTAAAATATGACGCAACAAGAAAAGGCATCATATTACCTGTCCTTTTGGGAATTGTGGCAGATATGGTCTTCCTGAAACTTTATAACATCAATTCACTGGTTAACGCATTTGGACTCACAAAAAAATGGATAAGTGGTCCCATCCTTTGGTTTGGATCCTTTGGAATAATTAATTTACTCGTTGGTTATAGAGTGTAAAGTCAGCTTACAAGAAAAAATAAAGAACAAAAAGGACCTTCTGGAGTACACGTAACATGAACTCAGTGTGTTTTGTTCCTTTCTCTTATTGCCTTAAACACCATATAGCCTCCATTTCAAAATGAATTCCTGAAGCCTCAGGTCTTAAATCAGTGGGACTTTTGCCTTCGGCTCCTTTGGTGGAGGACATGAAGTGAGGATGTGTCTACAATATTCAGCCTAATCTAATAAAGAAAAGGAAAGTCTTATGGGCAGAAAAAGCAGCAGCTATGTATGATGGGATAACACCCTGCCTTAGGTTCAGTTGCAGAAATATTTTCATCATTGTGTGTGGGCATTAAAGACATTAACTGCTTTTGAGGTTGCATGCCTGAACTTACAGTAAAGGAAGGAGGTGTGTTCATGGCTGTATTTTGGAAGTGCAGAGCCAGGATCTGTATTACTGACTTCAGAGGAGTTCTACAGAGGATGTGAGAGAATGCATCCTTTGGGAATAATTTAAAATAGGTATGTGCATGAATCCTGGTTCATGTGATTGCGTGTCTGTATCTGAGGGATAAATTGGCCTATTTCTTATTTTTTAAAGGCTTCTCTACAAACTGTGTGGAGGTTTATACCCTGGTTAAAAAGTCCTGCTCATGTCCATGTTCTGTGTTCTGTCTGCAGCTTTACACAAAAAGAAGGGGAACAAAGAAACACATACACAACTTTGCAGTGAAAATGCACCATTCCTGTGTTCTTCAAGATATCTAGGAGTGAATCAGGACTCACAGAAAAGTCCTATTTACCCCCCATTATTATCTGAGCTGTAAAGAGAAAGCAGAACTTAAGTTTCACTGGTGATTTTAATCCACTTTTTTCATTATTTTTTTCCGATCATTTGTGGTACAAGAAATGTATCGTTCATCTCTGAAGGAGTCTAGAAAATAGTTACTTCCTTTGGTTGTATTCTTCACAATGGCAAAAAAAAAAAAAAAAACCACCACCAATTCCCAATATCAACAATTGGAATTTGCTTCTGATTTCTGTAAGGACAAGATTTCCTTCTCTGTGCTACAAACTAGTCAGTTTTCTTTGTATGGTTACTTATTAATGGGGCTCCCCTATTTGTGAGCATGTCTGTTATGAATACAAATGCATTTTTCTTAGTGCTACAGTACTAGAAGACTTCATAATAGCTATGTCATGTTAGGAATGGAACCTCAGAAGCATTTAATTTATTTTCAAAACACAAGTTTGCATTTCATTGGTGGTAATGTGCAGTGTGTAAGCCTGAAAATGAGAGAATTGTAAGTCATGCTTTGGAACCAAAAATTCCATTATCCTTTTTGTTTGTTTGCTTGTTTATTTGTTTCAGTAATATGTGATAAAACTTTAGTTGTGAAAAAAGAGCTTCAGTTTCTGTCAGATGTGGCATAGGATGTGGCTTCAGAATATACCCTAACCAATTTCACAGCTATGCATTTCTTATCTTTAGAAATGAGGAACTCTATAGAATATCATGCCCTGATGTGGCACCAATTCTGTATGCTTAGTAATAAACCAAATAAACTTGATCTTGCTGATATTGCAAGATTTATTATACATAAACTGGAGTATATTCTGATCAGATTATCTAGTGAGAAAACCTGCTAGGATGAAGACATATTAAAATTCAACTGGAAGTGCATGTTTGTAAAGTTTTGCACTGGAAAATGAGGAATTTGAAGTTTGTTCTTCTTTAATGTTTTTCTTAATATGTTCACCTTTGTGGGAGTACACATGCATTCACATGGTAAATCTGACATTTGTGTTCCGAAAAACTCTGTAGTGGAGAAGGATATTAATACTTGTTTTCTTCTTTACTAGGGATAAAAACATGATATGGTGTGTGTTAGAAATA